GTTTCTTGAATTATCTGTCTCCTCCATTAGACTGTAAATCTCACAGGAGAGCAGGAACCATGCCTGTGTTTCTCACCATTGTAAACTCAGCCCCTAGTCCTGTTACTGTTGTTGTTCAGTGCCGTCGAGTCTGTTCTGACTCATAGCAACCCTGTATATGAGTTCCAAGGAACAGCTGGTATGTTTGAACCACCAACCTTGTGGTTGGTAGTCCAGTGCTTATCCTGTAGTGCCATACCAACAGTTTGGCACCTAGCCCTTGTGGTGGTGGTTATGTGCCGTGGAGTCGGAACCGACTCATAGCAACCCTGTACAGGGTTTCCAAGGCTGTAAATCTTTACGGGAGCAGAAAGCCTCATCTTTCTCCTAAATTTGTAGAGTCTCTTCCTTTCAGGGATGGTTTAGCCGATGGTAGTTCAAGCTTATCAGCTGCTCCTAGGAAACCCTATACTGGGCTGCTGTGGGTTGGAATGGACTCAACAGCACTTAACAAGAATTACATCAACACTGTTGGGTGTGATTTGAACTGAAGGTTTCAGACTTGGGGGCAGTTTAAGTGAAGGATTGCAAGTAAACAGTTGTGGTCCAGAAAATTGGGCTGCTCCCAGGTCAGGCCGCCCCCTGAGGAACTTGCAAAGCCTGCCTCAGGGAACAAGGAATTTGCAAAATCTTTCTTGTATGCAGCCATGGCCTTCAGTTTAGTCTGCAAAAACATCTAGCTGCCTTATCTCTGTTTCCCTAGCAACTACATTCTTTTGATAAAGTCCCACTTACTGCATGCATCAGTAACACCAGTTGTTATTCTTTTCCCTGCCCCAGCACCTCCTTTGATTTGTATATATAATAAATGTGCTGAACGTAGGTCAGAGCTGCAGTATCTCCATCAGATTGCTGCATCCCACCTGGTTCCAACTTTTCTTATTTCCCATGTGTCTGCGTCTTCCTTTTTTTCTAATCTCCTGTCGCCCCTTTGCTGTTGTTGTTGTTGAGTGCTGTGGTTTCCGAGTGTGTAAATCTTTATGGGAGCAGAAAGCTTCATCTTTCTCCTGCTGAACAGCTGGTAGTTTTGAACTGCTGACCTTGTGGTTTGCAGCCCGATTCGTAACCACTATGCTACCAGAACTCCTTAGCTCCAACTAGGGTTTAATCTCTCCATGCGGGTCATGGAGTATAGCCACTTGTCAGATGCAACAAACACAATGACTACATTTTGTACTGTGTTTTTCTGTATATTTATGGTGATGGGGGGGGCGTTACCATAGAAATTACAGTGCTTAAAGCCCCTGTGTGGTGCTGTATGATAAACACTGGATTGGTCAGTAGTTCAAACCCACCACCTGCTCTTGGAAAACCTATACAAGATCACTCTGAGTTGGAACAAACTTGACAGATTACAACAGCAACAACCAAGTCAGAAGATATAAACTGCAGAGTTGGCATTTCTTCCTAAAACTCAGGCAATCAATGCCTATAAATATTAGACTCCAAGAAGAACATAATTCAAAAGTTTACAAAGAAAGGTCATCATTTCCTATGGGTGATTTTGGTCTTGTGTTAATTTTGGTGGGTCTTAGGGGAAATGTAAAACATGGAAGCATGAGGAAATTTGGAAAGCAATAAAGTATGTTTTTATTACAAAGTTTCTGAGTTGAAAAATTGTTACAAAGGAGATGAAAAGGAACATTCTATAACCTTCTCTTACTTTTAGTAAGTTATTGAATAGGCTTTAGAGTGAATTTCTGTAGTACAAATGAAGTTCCTGGTATGCTTCTAAATTTTCAGCTATTACTTTTGAACCTAAGTCCATGGTTTTCATAATATTTACACTGAAAAGTAGGTACAATACACATTAGCCAGGAAAAAAACTCTAAGAATGTAATTATATCTGAATACTTATTGCCTTATGCAGAAATCATTGGACAATCTCTTTGATATCTCAAGTGAGTAAAGTTTTGCTAAAGGTAATATAGAAACGGCTACAATCATACATTGACAGAGAACTTCCAGAGGTTCAAGATGGATTCAGAAGAGGTCGTGGAACTAGGGATATCATTGCTGATGTCTGATGGATCTTGGCTGGAAGCAGCGAATATCAGAAAGATGTTTACCTGTGGTTTATTGACTATGCCAAGGCTTTCGATTGTGTGGATCGTGACAAGCTATGGACAATATTGCAAAGTTTGAGTATTCCAAAACACTTAATTGTACTCATGAGGAATCTGTACCTGGACCAAGCAGTTGTTTGAACAGAGCATGGGAATACTGAATGGTTTAAAATTAAGAAAGGTGTGCAACAAGGTTGTATTTTTTCACCATACTTATTCAATCTGTATGCTGAGCAAATAATACGAGAAGCTGGGTTCTATGAAGAAAAATGTGGCATCAGGATTGGAGGAAGACTCATTAACAACCTGCAATATGCAGATGCTACAACCTTGCTTGCTGAAAGTCAAGAGGACTTAAAACATGTACTGATAAAGATCAAAGAGCACAGCCTTCTATATGGATTTCATCTAAATGTCAAGAAAACAAAAATCCTCACCACTGGACTAATAAACGACATTCTTACCAATGGAGAAAAGATTGAAGTTATCAAGGACTTCATTCTTCTTGGATCAACTATCAACACTCATGGAAGCAGCAGTCAAGAGATCAGATGACGTAATGCACTAGGCAAATCTACTGCATAGGAACTTTTTAAAGTGTTGAAGAGCAAAGGTATCAACTTGAGGCCTGAGGTGCGCTTGACCCAAGCCATGGTATTTTCAATAACCTCATATGGATGCGAAAGATGGACAGTCAATAAGGAAGATTGTAGAAGAATTGATGCCTTTGAATATAGTGTTGGAGGAGGATATTAAAGTGCCATGGCTGCCAAAAGAACCAATAGATCTGTTTTGGAAGAAGTGCAGCCAGAGTGCTCCTTAGAGGCCAAGATGGCCAAAATTCGTCTCTCATACTTTGGACATATTGTCAGGAGGGAACAGTCACTAGAGAAGGATATCATGTTTGGTAAGATGGTGGGTCAGAGAAAAAGAGGAAGACCCCCAACGAGATGGATTGGCCAGGTGGCAGCATCCATGGATTCAAGTGTGGCAACAGTAGTGAGGTTGGCCCAGGATCGGACATTGTTTTGTTCTGTTGTGCATAGGGTTGCTATGAGTTGGTTCCGACTCAATGGCACCTAACAACAACAACTTATTTCCTTTAACCATCCATCATAAGGAAAAATACTAAAATGCAATACAGAATGCATGGCCAACTGACAAGAAAATAGATGATTGTGGCCTAATAAAAGTTAAATACTTACGTTTATCAAAAGACTTTAAGAGTAAAGAACTTAGACTGGGAAAAAATCTTTGGGAATGATATACCTGATAAAGGTCTAATAGCTAAATAAATACTTAGAAAATTTCTACAACTTAACAAAAAAGTAAATAGCCCAATCAAAATATATTGACAAAGGGCATGAACAGACACTTCATCAAAATGGACCTTGAAATGGCCAACAAGCACATGAAAAAACGCTCAGCATCATTAACCATCAGAGATACACAAACGAAAGCCACTAAAAAAGACACGATTTCACTCCCACTAGAATGGCTATGATCCACAGTCTAGTGCCTTTGCATAGTCTTTTTTTTTTTTTTTTGCATAGCACTGTTAAGTGCTGTCAGTTGCTAAGTGCTGTCAAGTTAGTAACCTATAGTTAAACCTATATAAGGGTTTCTGAGGCTGTAAATCTTTGAGGGTGCAGAATGTCTCATCTTTCTCCCACAGAGCAGATGATGGGCTTGAACCCCCAACCTTGTGGTTCCCAGTCCCAAGTTGAGTCTAATTTGGTCCCAGTAAGTGCACTGTTGTTAAGTGCCTTTGAATTGGTTCTGACTCATAATGACCCTGTACAGGGTTTCCAAGGAGCACCTGGTAAGTTTGTGCCACTGATCTTATGGTAAGCAGTCCAGGGCTTATCCTATAGCACCACACCAGAACTCCAATCAATACAGTAGAACATTCAAAATTGTTAGTAACAGATAAGAGCTATCAAGAGCAATTTATGTCAGGACATTGTGTTTACTCCAAAATTGACACATAGTGTTCAAATGTCATGTAAAATTAAGAAAATCTAAAAAATAGTTCTGAACATTTTATACTCAGACTTCAAATAAATTTTAATAGCGTAATTACATTTTTTTCTTAATTTAAAAAGTAACCTGTTTTATACACACCACACACTTTCGGTGACATTAATTATTCAGATTCGGCAACCATTTTGTTAATTTCTTGAACTCAGCTCTAAGAGGCAGAAATTGGCAGGCATGCCAAGAAGCCTGGACCGCTACATCCCTTTTATTAGAAGCATAAAGTGAACCAGTCCTCAACATGCCAAAGACTAAATGTTCAATGAAAACTTTCTTCCTAAATCTCAGTGGTCTGGCTGGCTCCTTGAACATCTGAGAATGGGTGATGGGGTGTCATGGACTGGTTCTGAGGGAGCGTCTTGAGGTCACTGTACGCACTGCAAATAAAACCCTAAGTCCCACAGTCAAGGAGTCGACTCTGGCACAAAGAGCCTGTATAGGGTTCCCAAGGCAGTAAATCTTTAGGGAGCAGTTTCCTTTCTGTAGCCGAGAGTCTGGTGAGCTCCAACCAACAACCTCGTGGTTAGCAGCCCAACGCGTAACCCACTAGGGGACAAAAATACACACAAAGTGAGTGAAACGGAAATCCAAGGCGAGTTTCCAAGCGAATCCGCTGTCATCGGACGTTTAGGAACTCGGTAAAGAGGGTACCCTTGCACGCGCCAGTAGCGGCTTGCGCCAGACTGCCGCCCCCAGCTGAAAACCACACCCCGTCCGCCGGCAGGCTGACCCGGAAATGCTCGGTGACCGCGGTGGCGGCGGGGGCGCGGCCAAACCGGCGCTCGCGCGCGCGCTCCCCGCGGAACTCAGGCAGGCGGCTCCGCGCTTTCCCGGAGGCGCGCCCCAGCCACTGCCAACATGGCCGAGACGAGTGAGGAGGTGGCGGTACTGGTGCAGCGGGTGGTGAAGGACATCACCAACGCTTTCAGGAGGAACCCGCACATGTGAGTCGCGCGCCGGCGGCACTGGGCTCTGCCGCTCCGAGGGTCGTTAGGGGCGGGCTGGGGCGGGGCCACGCCGGGCGCTGACCTCGGTCGGCGGGTTGACCGCGCTCGACCTGCCTTCGGGTGTCCCTGAGCGGCGGGTGGGGGAGTGGCGGAGGTCGGGGCCGCGCCCGCGAGGGCCCAGGACGATCGCTGCCCGCCACCGGCTCGTGGGCGAGTCCCCAGAAGTGACCTCGGACAATCGGAACGGCACTACTGCGTCCGGCGCGCCCTTTCCATCCTTCCCAAGACTTGTGAAACTCGAAGGACTTCACCCGTTGGTCTGCATCCTTCATCCGTTTAGGGTACACGGGCGCACACACACACAGGATGTCTTATCAACACAGCTCTTGAGATCCACCCTGAGCTTCTCTAAGAGGGGTCATCTTGTTCTTGATGACCCCAAATTCTTGCTTAGTTTACTTAGTAAAGATAGTTGGAGGTTGCCTTTGACTTTCATTTGTCACAGGATTGTAAAAACGTTTGATAAAACGTTGTGAAGGTGAACAGAACATTCTCTGTACCTTCTGTAGTTACAGTGTGGGACTGGTATAGTAAAACAGGAGAAACTTGGATACTTTTTAGCTTTAGGTGATTCATAGTTACTGGGAACAGATTAACTCATTTGAATCCAAACACTCCTGTGCTCTTCAAGCAAAATACTGACACATGTATCTCTCGTTCCTCTCTTTCCATTTTACTTGGAATATTCTGGGAAGTTGCTATAAGACCCTATGTATTTTGACACTTTCGCTGTTTATGTAACTAGTGGAAACTAAAAAACCTTTGCAGTTCAAACCGTTCCGGCTGATAGCAACCCAATAGGATGGAGTAGCATTGGCCCATAAAATTTCCAAGCCTTTCAGTCTTTATGGAAGCACACTACCACATCTTTCTCCCATGGAGCTGCTCGTGTGTTCCAACTTTTGCAGCCAAGCACTTGAACACAGTGCCACCAGGGCTCTTTAGTAAAAAGGAAGCTATTCAAAGAAAGGTATGTCTAAAACATAGAGAAGCATTACACAGATGCAAAAGTGTGTCTCCTTTCCTTCCCTCCTCTCAAAAGAAAGGAAACATGAAATCGAGTTTTGCATTGTTTTTACTTAATCTAGTTGTTTGTGGAGTTAATTTAAAAATCTTTATTTTAAAGCATTCTAACCCCTTTAAGCTTTTCTGCCTAAAAAGTGCCAATCTGATGTCTGAACAGTATTCTTGTTCTCCAAGGTGATGATTATAAGAGTTAAGAAGCCCTCTTTGTTTTGCTCCTTTGTGGCACCTAAGATCTGCAACTGTGCCTCATTAAAAACAAAGCACTCCTAGCCCCAAACACACCTGCCACTTTTGTCTGTGTCCACTTCCTTTGCCCTTATATAACTGCTGTTTTTTCCAGAATCAGTATTTGGAAGGGTTTCCTCAAAGTAACCATAGTAGCTGTTGGGCTTTCTGAAGAATGCTCTGATGCCTTGTTATATGTTAGTCTTTCAGTTCTTTTTAAGAATGGAAGTCTCAGTGCAAATAAGAGACACTGTCCCAAAAAAAAAAAAAAAAGTTGGACAAATGAAGAGCCTATTTTGTCGTTGTTGTTAAGTACCACTGAGTGAGTTCTGACTCATTGTGACTCTGTATAGGGTTTCTGAGGATTGACTGTGGGGTTGAACTGTCAGCCTTGTGGTTAGCAGTCCATTGTTGATCCTGAAGCACCACACCAGGACACATTTTGTCTTTACTAGTGTTACTTTTCTTGAAAATTTTTTTTAGCAGATTTGTGTTAGAAAGAAGTTTAGTTTTAAAAAACTACTGAAGTTGGTCTTCTGGTTTACCTAAGACCAAATTCTCTTTCAGGCAGACTAGTGGGACATCTTTATTTTACTTCAGATTGGCTTGACAGGTTGACCAGTGCAGTTTGGAATGGTCCCAGTTCTTTCAGATTGTGCTTATTGAAACTTATCAAGGACTTTACTCCCTCCTCCCCCATCATATTTTTACAGTGAAATCTCATTAATGTGTTCTGTCAATGTATGCTTTGTAATTGTTAATAGGCATTTGGGTCATTACTTAAGATATGGGTCATGATTTAAGATTTAGATGTTTGAAATAAGTTGGGGCATACTTTGAAATGATGATACATAATATAGGTCTAAAACATTTTGATGTTCTTACTGTTTCATTTAATATTAGTTTTTATCTATATTTTAGTATATCTCTCCTATAGTTGACATCCTTAATAATATCTTTTGCTCACCGTTTAGAATATCTTATCATTCAACCTTTTCAGAATTTTTCTATGCTTCTTCCCCTAATCGAATCCTTTTGCTTCTGAAATAAAAGCCTATATTTTCAACTAAAAGTAAATGCATTGCTTATCTTGGAAGCTAGTATCTGATTATACTTTTAATAATTCAGGGAAAACAAGTTTTATTTATTTATTTTTCTTTAGCTTTTACCCCAAATACATGGTAGATTGTAATTTTGTTAAATGACATTTACTTTTTTATTAAATGTGTTGATTTTGCTTCTCTGAAAGTTTCTAGCCAGGAGGAGTTGAGATGCCACCAGATGAGACATGGGTCTGTACTGCGAGCGGGAACGGGTCACCTTCCCAGAGCCTGTCTTTCCTGTGTTCTCAGTGAGGGCGGTGGGAGCACAGCAGAATCACCATGTATAGATGGTGTCTAGTACTTGTTATGTGCCATCGAGTCAGTTCTGACTCATAGGGACCCTACGTAGGGCTTCTAAGATGTTAACTGGTAGATTTGACTGCCAACTTGACAGCGCCACACCAGAACCAAACCCAACCCGCTGCCATCGAGTTCATTCTGATTCATAACAACCCAATCTAGGCTATAACTCTGTATGGAGTCAGAAAACCTTATCTTTCTCCCATGGAGTGGCAGGTAGATTTGAACTGCTGACCTTCTGGTGAGCAGTTTAGTAGTTATCCTACAGTGCCACCAACACTTGTTACCACTAGGTATGTGCCTAGGGTTAACCTGAATCCTGAGTTCCTGTACTGAAAAGATGGTCAAAGGAATGGAACAACTCAAGACTGGACCAGGGAGAGGGATGGTGTAATGCAGACTCTGGGCTAATGTGGAAGATAAGTGGTTCATAATGTAGTTGTTGTTAAATGCTGTGGAGTCCGTTCCAACTCATAGCTACCCTGTATAGTGTTTGCAATGAGCAGCTGGTGAGTTTGAACTGCCAACCTTGTGATGCAAACTGACTTTGCAGTCCAGTGCATTAACCAGCAGCGCCATACCAGTTAGGATTCTGTTAAAGTTCTCTTATCCAGCAAACCTTTATTTTTATTCTACTAAATATTTATTGAATTTTCCATGTTATGAAGTGCTGTAAATGTCATTTTCACTGTATGAAATAGGAAGAAGTATAAACACAGTTTTTGTGTTCAAGGCACTCACAAATTCACAGGATAATAACCAAACCAACTGCTTTTGGGTTGATTTAGACTCATGGTGACCCCATGTTTTTGCCACATAGGGTTCTCAGTGGCTGATTTTTCAAAACGGTTGAACCTCCATCGTTCTGGTTAGCAGCTGAGTATGTTAATTATTTCCATCAGTAAGAGACATATGGGCTGATAGAAATGTTCTATATCTATGCTCTCCAGTATAAGAACCACAAGGATATGTGGCTGGTGAGCATTTGCAAATGAGGAAATATGGTAAAAAAAAAATTGTAATTAATTTAAATATAAGAAGCCCTAGTGACAAAGATGAGGCTTTCTGCTCCCTTAAAGATTTACAGCCTCAAACCCTGTGCGGGGTCGCTATGGGTTGGAACCAACTCCACGGCACTTAACAACAATAACAGTGACATACTGGGTTAAGCGTATGGTTGCTAAATCTCAAGCTTGCGACTCAAAGCACGTACCAGCTACTCCATGGGAGAGAGTTGAGGTTGTCTACTCTTTAAAAAAAAAAAAAAATTATATATATATATATATATATATTTTTTTTTTTTTATGCATTATACTCCACAACATCCATTCATTCACAGTTTCTACAGAAACAGTTCAGTAACATTCAACAAATCATACATGTTGTTTCATCTCAGCGATTACAGTCATCTCCCTTTAACAACAGTTAACCTATTCCCTCTCTGTGGTTTTCCATTTACATCATATATTTCACAAATTAACAAAGCAAAAATCTTCCTTGTTTAAATGTCCAAAGGGTGGACATTTAAGACAGCTTCCTGCCTGCAGACACACAGCCTTACTCAGACCCTGGGCCTAGAATCCTCAGCTGATCTCTCCATGTCACTGCCTCTGCCCCGTCTCTGCTGTTGCTGCTTTTCTAGGTAGGAGCTTACAGTTCTCTCTTGCTCTTCCATCTTGATGGTCTTAGGGGGTCTCTGTTCCTGCAATGAAAAATTAACTACCATTCCCTTTTAATTACACATCTTTTACAATTATATTTGTGACATTCATAACTAATCCTGCTACCAGTTGCTCACAGTTGAATCATAAAATCCTATCACCATCATCCCCCACCCCCTTTCACCAGATCCATCTGGAAAAGAGGAGAACTATTCAGTGGGGATTTTACTTTACCCTCCTCCTTCTGAAACTAAGCACATTCATAAAAGCTTGTAAACCAGTCACTTTGTGCCTTTATATTGTTGTTGTTAGAGTCAGTTCCGACCCTAGACCTTCATTTTTGATAGCCAGTGTCTAAATTACCTCTCTGTAAATCCTGGTGTGGTGCTGTGAGTTAATGCGCCAGACTGCAAAGCTGTTTGAACTGCAAGGTTGGCAGTTCAGGCTCACCAGCTGCTCCTTGGAAACCCAATATATAGGGTTGCTATGGGTTGGAATCGGCTCAGTGGCACTTAACAACAACATCAGCCCAGTGTAATGAGGAAACAAGTTTGTTCATTGATATGAAGAATCCTTCCATTTCGGTTGGAATTTTGAGCAACTACATCCATAAGTAAAGGTC